ATAGTGGTCCAACCCCTCTGGAGATCAGGGGAGGAGAGAGAAATTACTTCCCTAGTTGATTGTGCAAGCCCAGAGTGGACACTGGGACTAACACCGCTACTGTCTTTTTACTATTTTTAATATCCATGAATTTCAGGGCTTTATTTTAACATTTCAGTCCAAAGGACAGCCCCTCAGTATGGTCATCATACTGAAATGACCACAGAAATGCAGGAACCTTCTAATGTTCAGATGAATAGAAAAACTCATGTGTTGTACTTACAGAGGGACTATCTCTGTTCAAAACAGAAAAGAGCTTACAAATTCAAAAGAAATACACAACACAACATAGTATATCATCGCTACTGCTAAGAATGCATTTACTTATTCTATTGTGACAAACATTTAATTTACATTTGATTGAAGCATTTCTGCAAATGAAATATCCCTTTTCTGTAATGAGTATCAAGCAGGTGTTAATAATTTTGAGAGCGTCTTTCCAACATTTGTCCGTGTCTCCTCAGATGTGACAATTTCTAAGCCTGCTCACAGCTGTCAGCTTTCACCAGGTACACAAGAAAGAAGGCCTATTCTTGTATTGTCCTCATATATCCTTTATGCTTGAGATATGCTAATCAGTCGTTGGTGTTGAATAGCCCTATTCATCTTATTAAACATTTAGAATGGGGAATGGTTATCTGAAAAGAACTATACAATATTACGCCTTTATATAACAAGCTGCCTATTTGAACAGGATTTATTAATAAAAGAAAGGCGTTATTTTATCAAACAGAGTAAGAGAACCATACAGGCTTCTATAATGATTTATTTAAAGTTTGATTTTAATGATGGAACATTGCAGCATTCAAGAGTATGGTGTTCCCAGTTCATGCAGATGAAATAAGGGATATATGTGTATACTGCATATTTTATATGACTTGGATTTAAAAAATAGTAACAAGGTCCTAAGGCAATGCATATACTGTGTGTATTCATACTGTACATAGCTAGATGTATAACCGATAATACCATGGTGTGCATGGTATTCTACATGGTCAGGTCATAAAGGTATCAAACCCAGTGAGCAGAAATATTTATCTATGTCTTATACCCACTGGTTCCAAATACATCCTGCTTGACAGGTGCTGCTTTAAAGGACTGCTTGGGTCCTTGGTCAGGAGAGGGCAGGGTCATATGGCTCTTTAACACCTATCAGAGCGTTGTGAAGTGGCTCATTAAAAAGTGGAAGGAACCCCAATACAGCTTAGATCAGGCTTTCCCTCTTGATTGAGCTGCCACTGTGAGTCCATTGGTAACTTTGAAAGAGATACAGAGATCAGAGGCTGGGATGGGACGACAGGTCCATGGATTACTGTAAGCATGTGGTAAACAGTTTTGTGGTGAGACAATAAGAATTGGAGGTTTTTGGTCTGAATGCAAATCTCGTGCAAGCCCAACACGGTGAATTACTCAAGTCTGCACAATCCCTATACTGTCGGGCATGTTGGAGGCAGCAGTATGTTTTAGTTCTGCTTGTGAAGACTGATGGGAACATTGATAGAGCAAAGTCCTGTCATATCTTAGAGATAGCCTGCTTCAGACCTAAACTGGATAGATAATTTCACCTTTCAACAGGACAACGACCCAAAGCACAAGGCCAAGGGTTGCTAATGTATAAGAGTGAACGTCCTTGAGTGGCCCAGTCAATGTCCTGACTCCATTCCTATCGAAAAATATTTAATAAAATGGTAACTTCTCAAATATCACAACTGAAGGCCCAGTGAAACTTTTACTTTATTTGTTTCTATACTGTAATATTGACCCAGCAAATGTCACCCGTTTTTGTCATTTCCAAACGAGTTTTCATTTACACTACCTAAAGATATTAAATTCGGTTTTTTGGAGGAAATCCGAAATCATAGCGAGCAGTACCTAGACACAGAGTGTCAAAGTCCATGTGCTGTATATTGTGAAGTGTTACACTACACACAGTTTTGCTTTTCGAGACGGAGAGGAAAATTAAGTACAGTCAAATCTTAGAGAAAAACCTGCTTCAATCTTCTCATGACTAAAACTGGGGTAGGAGAACTCTCGTCAGGAGTGTCTTTACACTGGAGTGTCTTTATAGGAAGAAAGTGAATATTCT